AAAATTTTAACTGTGAATGCCATTCGATTGGAAATTTTGTTACGAATTCAACGGTGTATGACATTCCACATTTTGACCATTATTTCCCAGGGTTTTGACACAAAAACCAAGTTTTTAATGTGTTTTTTGTGATTTTTGGCGATTGTTCAAACAAAATTATTTCTGAAGAGTCTTTTTGTTGTAACTTTGCCAAAATAAGACCCAAAGTCAAAAGAGTTGCTATTTTGAAGAGCTAGCAACCTATACCATCCGTCCCCGATCGATTTAAAACAATAAATTTTGTTTTGACACAATAACAGAATTTAGAAAGACATTTTTTAAAAAAATTATTTTTGTCCAAGTTTCTGGATTTTTTGTAAGGGGGTACATCATCATTTTTTGCAGAAATTTGAAAATCTGAAAAAATTTTAACTGTGAATGCCATTCGATTGGAAATTTTGTTACGAATTCAACGGTGTATGACATTCCACATTTTGACCATTATTTCCCAGGGTTTTGACACAAAAACCAAGTTTTTAATGTGTTTTTTGTGATTTTTGGCGATTTTTCAAACAAAATTATTTCTGAAGAGTCTTTTTGTTGTAACTTTGCCAAAATAAGACCCAAAGTCAAAAGAGTTGCTATTTTGAAGAGCTAGCAACCTATACCATCCGTCCCCGATCGATTTAAAACAATAAATTTTGTTTTGACACAATAACAGAATTTAGAAAGACATTTTTTAAAAAAATTATTTTTGTCCAAGTTTCTGGATTTTTTGTAAGGGGGTACATCATCATTTTTTGCAGAAATTTGAAAATCTGAAAAAATTTTAACTGTGAATGCCATTCGATTGGAAATTTTGTTACGAATTCAACGGTGTATGACATTCCACATTTTGACCATTATTTCCCAGGGTTTTGACACAAAAACCAAGTTTTTAATGTGTTTTTGTGATTTTTGGCGATTTTTCAAACAAAATTATTTCTGAAGAGTCTTTTTGTTGTAACTTTGCCAAAATAAGACCCAAAGTCAAAAGAGTTGCTATTTTGAAGAGCTAGCAACCTATACCATCCGTCCCCGATCGATTTAAAACAATAAATTTTGTTTTGACACAATAACAGAATTTAGAAAGACATTTTTTAAAAAAATTATTTTTGTCCAAGTTTCTGGATTTTTTGTAAGGGGGTACATCATCATTTTTTGCAGAAATTTGAAAATCTGAAAAAATTTTAACTGTGAATGCCATTCGATTGGAAATTTTGTTACGAATTCAACGGTGTATGACATTCCACATTTTGACCATTATTTCCCAGGGTTTTGACACAAAAACCAAGTTTTTAATGTGTTTTTTGTGATTTTTGGCGATTTTTCAAACAAAATTATTTCTGAAGAGTCTTTTTGTTGTAACTTTGCCAAAATAAGACCCAAAGTCAAAAGAGTTGCTATTTTGAAGAGCTAGCAACCTATACCATCCGTCCCCGATCGATTTAAAACAATAAATTTTGTTTTGACACAATAACAGAATTTAGAAAGACATTTTTTAAAAAAATTATTTTTGTCCAAGTTTCTGGATTTTTTGTAAGGGGGTACATCATAATTTTTTGCAGAAATTTGAAAATCTAAAAAATTTTTAACTGTGAATGCCATTCGATTGGAAATTTTGTTACGAATTCAACGGTGTATGACATTCCACATTTTGACCATTATTTCCCAGGGTTTTGACACAAAAACCAAGTTTTTAATGTGTTTTTTGTGATTTTTGGCGATTTTTCAAACAAAATTATTTCTGAAGAGTCTTTTTGTTGTAACTTTGCCAAAATAAGACCCAAAGTCAAAAGAGTTGCTATTTTGAAGAGCTAGCAACCTATACCATCCGTCCCCGATCGATTTAAAACAATAAATTTTGTTTTGACACAATAACAGAATTTAGAAAGACATTTTTTAAAAAAATTATTTTTGTCCAAGTTTCTGGATTTTTTGTAAGGGGGTACATCATCATTTTTTGCAGAAATTTGAAAATCTGAAAAAATTTTAACTGTGAATGCCATTCGATTGGAAATTTTGTTACGAATTCAACGGTGTATGACATTCCACATTTTGACCATTATTTCCCAGGGTTTTGACACAAAAACCAAGTTTTTAATGTGTTTTTTGTGATTTTTGGCGATTTTTCAAACAAAATTATTTCTGAAGAGTCTTTTTGTTGTAACTTTGCCAAAATAAGACCCAAAGTCAAAAGAGTTGCTATTTTGAAGAGCTAGCAACCTATACCATCCGTCCCCGATCGATTTAAAACAATAAATTTTGTTTTGACACAATAACAGAATTTAGAAAGACATTTTTAAAAAAAATTATTTTTGTCCAAGTTTCTGGATTTTTTGTAAGGGGGTACATCATCATTTTTTGCAGAAATTTGAAAATCTGAAAAAATTTTAACTGTGAATGCCATTCGATTGGAAATTTTGTTACGAATTCAACGGTGTATGACATTCCACATTTTGACCATTATTTCCCAGGGTTTTGACACAAAAACCAAGTTTTTAATGTGTTTTTTGTGATTTTTGGCGATTTTTCAAACAAAATTATTTCTGAAGAGTCTTTTTGTTGTAACTTTGCCAAAATAAGACCCAAAGTCAAAAGAGTTGCTATTTTGAAGAGCTAGCAACCTATACCATCCGTCCCCGATCGATTTAAAACAATAAATTTTGTTTTGACACAATAACAGAATTTAGAAAGACATTTTTTAAAAAAATTATTTTTGTCCAAGTTTCTGGATTTTTTGTAAGGGGGTACATCATCATTTTTTGCAGAAATTTGAAAATCTAAAAAATTTTTAACTGTGAATGCCATTCGATTGGAAATTTTGTTACGAATTCAACGGTGTATGACATTCCACATTTTGACCATTATTTCCCAGGGTTTTGACACAAAAACCAAGTTTTTAATGTGTTTTTTGTGATTTTTGGCGATTTTTCAAACAAAATTATTTCTGAAGAGTCTTTTTGTTGTAACTTTGCCAAAATAAGACCCAAAGTCAAAAGAGTTGCTATTTTGAAGAGCTAGCAACCTATACCATCCGTCCCCGATCGATTTAAAACAATAAATTTTGTTTTGACACAATAACAGAATTTAGAAAGACATTTTTTAAAAAAATTATTTTTGTCCAAGTTTCTGGATTTTTTGTAAGGGGGTACACCATCATTTTTTGCAGAAATTTGAAAATCTGAAAAAATTTTAACTGTGAATGCCATTCGATTGGAAATTTTGTTACGAATTCAACGGTGTATGACATTCCACATTTTGACCATTATTTCCCAGGGTTTTGACACAAAAACCAAGTTTTTAATGTGTTTTTTGTGATTTTTGGCGATTTTTCAAACAAAATTATTTCTGAAGAGTCTTTTTGTTGTAACTTTGCCAAAATAAGACCCAAAGTCAAAAGAGTTGCTATTTTGAAGAGCTAGCAACCTATACCATCCGTCCCCGATCGATTTAAAACAATAAATTTTGTTTTGACACAATAACAGAATTTAGAAAGACATTCTTTAAAAAAATTATTTTTGTCCAAGTTTCTGGATTTTTTGTAAGGGGGTACATCATCATTTTTTGCAGAAATTTGAAAATCTGAAAAAATTTTAACTGTGAATGCCATTCGATTGGAAATTTTGTTACGAATTCAACGGTGTATGACATTCCACATTTTGACCATTATTTCCCAGGGTTTTGACACAAAAACCAAGTTTTTAATGTGTTTTTTGTGATTTTTGGCGATTTTTCAAACAAAATTATTTCTGAAGAGTCTTTTTGTTGTAACTTTGCCAAAATAAGACCCAAAGTCAAAAGAGTTGCTATTTTGAAGAGCTAGCAACCTATACCATCCGTCCCCGATCGATTTAAAACAATAAATTTTGTTTTGACACAATAACAGAATTTAGAAAGACATTTTTTAAAAAAATTATTTTTGTCCAAGTTTCTGGATTTTTTGTAAGGGGGTACATCATCATTTTTTGCAGAAATTTGAAAATCTAAAAAATTTTTAACTGTGAATGCCATTCGATTGGAAATTTTGTTACGAATTCAACGGTGTATGACATTCCACATTTGGCCATTATTTCCCAGGGTTTTGACACAAAAACCAAGTTTTTAATGTGTTTTTTGTGATTTTTGGCGATTTTTCAAACAAAATTATTTCTGAAGAGTCTTTTTGTTGTAACTTTGCCAAAATAAGACCCAAAGTCAAAAGAGTTGCTATTTTGAAGAGCTAGCAACCTATACCATCCGTCCCCGATCGATTTAAAACAATAAATTTTGTTTTGACACAATAACAGAATTTAGAAAGACATTTTTTAAAAAAATTATTTTTGTCCAAGTTTCTGGATTTTTTGTAAGGGGGTACATCATCATTTTTTGCAGAAATTTGAAAATCTGAAAAAATTTTAACTGTGCATGCCATTCGATTTGAAATTTTGTTACGAATTCAACGGTGTATGACATTGCACATTTTGACCATTATTTCCCAGGTTTTGACACAAAAACCAAGTTTTTAATGTGTTAATGTCGTAAGGCATTTCGGAGTGTAATGCTCCAGTGGGCGGTCTCCCGCGAGGTCTTTCAATCCAGAGATCTGGCCATTTTCACTGCCAATATTTGCTTATGTTTGTTTACATTGCATATTGTCAGTTTGGTGTTGTGGTGCCAATCGACCTGGTTTCGATGTTTAACCGATAGCTGAGGCCTGAAGGGACACGTTATCCCAACCATCGGCACATCGCTAATGGCCGACGATGAGCCGGGCCTTTTGGTGAGATTTGAAATCATGAAGTTAGAATTGCCATCTAAATTGTTGATTTATATGCGTAGATGTTAGTTTTGTACGTTTAAAAAATTCCTTTATTATACAGAATGTTGTACTGTGTGTGTCATAATTTATTTATTTACTTTAAATCGGGACACCCTTCTTTAATAATAAAAATAAAACTCAGTCCGATTTTTTTTTCCATTTTCTGTTTATTATGCTCAATTTTTGGTTTTATACTTTTGTTTACGCATGTGATTATATATTCTTTTATTTATTCATTTTGTTTTCGGTTTTGGGTTTAGTTCGCCTTTACAAATAATCATTGTTATGATCGTTCTTATATAATTTCTATGCAATTAGCCCGTTTTTATAAATATTCAATATATTCATTAAATTTGTTATGCAATTTCACATTCCATATAAATAATGTACACCAAAAAAAAAAAAACAATTCATTAAATATTAGTTGTTGTATGCATTTGTTTCGGTTTCCGTTTCATCTCTTTGGTTTTCTGAAGCATTTTCTTTAAGTTTTTTGGTAATTTAGTTTTGGTTTTTAATGGGCGTGGGCGTGGGCGTGGCCCGTGCCAAGCAGCGGAAATGCGGCCAAAAAGTCGTTCAATTTGCAAACATCAAGCAAATGCTCCGTTGTCGTTACGTTGTTACATAATAAATCGTACTCGTAGTTAATAATAGTTCTCTTAGTGACTGAATGCTGAATGCTGGTTGCTTGTGGATTGCGTTTTGGGCCAAATAGCGAGTATTTTACACATACATATACACACAAAGAAATGCATTTCTCCCTCTCTGTCTGTCTCTATTTCTGTTCCTGTTGCCGTCTCTTTCCGTTCGAGTCTGGTCTACAGTTATAACTCTATAATGCGATCCTAGATGCACATGCGTTGCTGCAATTGCAAGATTGACTGTTTCTAGTTCGCCTTCTTCTAAATCCCTCTACCTTATATGGCTTATAATGGGGTCCTCTAACTCTATCTCTTTCTTTCTTTCCGCGCCGGCCCGCCCTTACCTCTCTTTCTTTTTCCCTTCTGTTATCCTTTTCTAATCTCTCTCTCTATATCTATCAACTTGTTTAACGAGTAGTAGCACAATTTTTGGACGAAGATGGTTGAAATCGAAGCGTCTAAGTGAGTGTTAGTGTGAGTGTGAGTGTGAGTGTGAGTGTGAGTGTGAGTGTGAGTGTCGGTGTGGGTGTGTCTGCTAAACTAAATCCTCTATGGGGGGGGCATATGTAGGTGTGTAAAGCGCTCCTCAATTTACACGATTACGATCTGGCTATATCCGTTAAATAACTATCAAAATTCTCGGCTATGGGTGCGAGTAGAAAACGAAACGCTGCAGTTACAATATCCAATCCCATATCCATTTTCATTTCCATTTCCTATCTGGCCTAAGCTTATCATTCTCCCGCCCACTGTATTTGTTGTTATATAAATATATCGGGGTGGTGCTATATATCGTGTGTGGAGATTATATATATATATATATATACTATATCAAAAGAGCTGCCTGCCTCCTGTCTGGACTCGAATCTCGTTTGGGACGTCTTTTGCTGCGCTGTGCTCGTGTGTTTTGGTTTTTTGGTTTTTACAATAAGTATGGGTAAGCAAATAGTATATATGGGGGGACGTAACTAGCTGCAGTATTCTCTGACTAATGTCGCCGTTCAACTAAGCTAAGGACGTTTTCGCAAAAAGGTCATTGTGTTCATATATATATGTATATATACTTGTATAAGTATGTACGAGTATGTCCTGGCCGATGGCCCGATCTCACACGCATTATTAACTATTATTACTAAGCTTTGCAAAAAGGCGTGCCATGTGTGTTAGTTTTCGCGTCCTCTTATTTGTCGTAGTAGCTGCTCTTAACTCGCCTCCGATCGAACTTTGTCTAGTTTACTCACAAAAAAAAAAAATTCAATACACTCGTGTGTAATATATGTTAAGTATATATATATATATAGGTACACACGCATATACATACATATAATTACTCCTCCTCTCTCTATCTTTCTCTATATGTATAGGTATATATATATACTAAATATCGTAATATCCTTGTAAGGTTTTTATAGTTAACAATAATCGCCATTTATTATCCTCCCGCAGGCTTAAATATATATGGGATTTTCCTGACCAGTAAGCAGGCGGAACATGGAAGTGGGCATCGTCTTCATGAGTATCTGGAATGGTTAAAGGGTAATGGAATTACTATATACGTGTCACTCTTCATCCCATCATTCCCATATCCCCCCATACCTCTCCCACGGATGTGGCCAGCAAGTTAACGATCTTCTCGTGGGGCACAGCCACCACGCTCTGGTTGTTTATCTCGATGATGCGATGGCCCACACGAACACCACCCCGCTCCGCAATCCCGCCACGCAGCAGGCTGCAGATCTGCAAGACGAGATTAACTTAATTAGTGGAATGGTTCTATCTAACAGTTCAGCAAATAATTGCTCAGTGTTTTAAACTTTTAAATTTATAACTACCACCTAACACCCTTTAACAAAGTTTGCTTAAAATACATATGTGAATACATATATTCCGAACTAATATTTGCATTGAGAATTTCGTAGTTCTGATCAGTATTCACATCCAATGAGAGATTAAACAGGCTTTAGAGTCCTTCAATAAAAAAAAAATAAATTAGAATTTACAAATTTGAATTTTTGTTGACAGTTTTAAGTTTTAAGCTTTCATAGTAGGGCATGCCCTTAGCACTATGCACAACAAAATCTTTATAGCATTTATAGCCTTAACAACTTAGAAATAACTTACAAAAAGTTGCAAAAAAATTATATAAAATGTATATGCCGAAATAATGATTATTTCTATGGATTAAAAAGCATTCCCCTTATTCCAAAGCTGGTTGACAACTCTGAACTGTGTGATATGCATTTGTTCAGAGTTGACAAGCCTTCCTAAAAACACCTGCTTGTGAATGTTGCAACTACCCAACTCACCACTCCGTTCTGGACGCTGAATCCGAGCTGGTACTTGGTCTCCGGCCTCTTGATCTTCACCTCGACGACGGGGGCGCACGGCACCACCGTGAACTTGACCACGGTCTGGTTCTTGGTGTTCTTGATGTACGTCTGGCAGGTGGATAGGGGCAGGCCGACGAGACTCAGGCCGTTGATGGCGATCAGCTGGTCGCCGATGTTGAGCTGGCCGCACCGGGCAGCCGCCCCGGAACTCATTAGATTGGCAATCACCACGGTGGGCAGCATCGAACCCCAGCCGCTCTCCACGATGACCACGCCCAGGATCTCGCCCTTGGCCTTCGGCACCACCACCTCCTTCTGCAGTTCCTTCTTGGCGAAGATCTCCAGTTCGTCGCCGAAGATCTCCTGGCTGTTGAGCACCTCCTGGTAGTCCATCTCCTTGACGAACCGATGGTCCTCGATGCCGTTCGCCTTGAGGAACTCCATGTAGGCCACCTGGAAGGCCTGGCCAATCGATTGGGCAATGAACTGGGCCTCGTCGCTTTCGAACACGTGACAGATCATCTTGGGCGTGCGATTCGGCTTGGGGGCATCATCGATGTCCTGGGGCACGAAGCGACGGCGGGCCATGAGGACAACCAGATCGCCGATGTCCGCAATGTAGGAGATGGTGCGCAGGGCATGGTCCATCATGATCTCCTTGAGGTCCGTGTTCAGGACCATGATCTTCTCCGTCGAAATGAACAAATCCACCTCGGTGCTGGGCTGCACATCGCCATCGGGTGCCTGTAAATGATTTACTTCGGTTATTCACTGATTAACAATCCTTATCGGGTATTCTGGGTTGTGTGGAACTGGGATTCGGTGGTTGACTCAAAGGGGTACAAGCATTCCTTTTGGGTAACACAAGTATTACAGCGGGCCAAATATCTTCGATCCAATTTAACTCAAGGCAAATCAGGCAAACCAGAGGTGGGCATTTGATTGGGTGGGGTGGTTGGTTTGGGGTTCGGGGTTTAGTGGGTATAGCTAGTGTTTACATTACTTACCAGCGCCTGTTATGCGAATTTTTTGTTTGATTTTGTTTTATTTGCATGGCGATACGTGGTTTAGTTAGCGTGGTTGGTCATCGCGGATGCGGAGCATTTGATGTGGAGGAGGTGATGCATGAAAATATAACATTAAACAGTTAATGAATTGTTTTTTTTTTGGCTCTTCAGTTTGGTCTTTCAATCAGCTTAGCTTAAGGTTGCTCACTGGTTAGTCGCAAGTGGTGGTGAGGGGAATAGGGAAAGGGAAAGGGAGGTGTTAAATCAAAAGTCGGAGGTCAGAGCGATGGAGCAGGAGTCAAAAATAGCTGCAAATTTTGTTCATCAGTGCAAGGGGAGGCGGTGAAAGCAGTTCAAGGGGTTGTCACAGATGCTTGGTTTAATCAAAAAATAAAACAATCCTATAATATTTTTAGTCTTTGTTTTTAAATTAAATATTTGGCAGATTGCATATATAGAAAAGTTCCACAACAAGTAACGCATAAATCACCAAGTTAAGAAGAGATGAAATATAAGCTTTTTCAAATGTTTAGGTTTGAAATAGTTATAGTACCATTACTTGTAAAAACAATACAAAAATTTGATTCATAGAGTTTTTTTTAAGTTGTTTAATGTAAATGTCTTTAAATCTTAAAGTCAAAAGCTTACAAGATTTCACTTAACTAATCAACAATAGGGAAATGCAAATGGATAGAATGTGAACTGTGACAACCTCTGATCTGGTTTTCCAGCAGGACTCTCGTATTTCTACGCACTACAAACACAGAACGGATCTTGGCACAAGTAAAAACGCAAGCTGATCGAAGCAATCGATCGAGTGGGGCGAGCATTACCGTATGTTTTTCAGGAGGCGCCTGAAGGAACCTTACCTTGATCCTGGAAACGGCCTCCTCCGCCTGCATCATGCGCGTGGACTTCGTGGGCTGACCCTCGCAGACCAGCTGCGTGGAGCCCAAGTACTTGGCCCTGAACAGTACGCCCTCGATGAGCACTGCGCCGCCTGCAGTTGATGAAGTTGGTATATAGATGGAGATGGAGGTGGAGAAGATGGAGAACGGAGAACCCGGTTAGAAGATCGGTTGCAACAAAGTCTGGGATCACAGAGTACATGTGGAGTATAGGTTGGTTAGTGTACGTGCATGTGTGGGTCAGCAATCCATCAAACCATTTTAGCTCAGCCCCAAAAGAAACATCAAAAAAATAGCTTGTTATTTGTACCCCCATGTAAGAATCTTTATATAAATAAACTAAAAGAGTCCGCAGGAGTAATCATTTTGGTTACCCACTTAACCACTTATTGGGTCAATTAATTCCTAAGCAACCTTTTAATATTTTAGTTCAATTGTATTGAAATGGACTAATTTGTAAAAATATAATTTATAATAAAAACACATTATCCAGTTTTGAAATATTTAAAAAAAGAAGACTAAAGGATTGGTGGCTATGATCGGGATTATTTTTAAGCACATATAGAGTAACAGAGCTTTTATAAAAAGAAACCCAATTTAACTCCCATTAGATTTTCCCTTGTTTGGTGTTACCTTGTTAGTGTTGGATCTTAGGTACTAGTACATAATGGAATTTTATCTTACAAAGTATTGTACACACACACAGACACAGTAAAATGAAGAGTAGAGTTTGGTTTTGATTTGGTTGAACGAACGAACGACGCATGCAAAAAATACGCAAATAAATATGCGAAAGAATACGGAGAAATGATAGGTAAAAGAATACATATACGATTAATACGGATTGATTATCTGGTTCGAGAATTGCATATAAGGATTAAAATCAATTTACATATTACGCTGCCAACTTTGAATTTTGAATTTGCTCTGCTACGCTATCGAAATTTTAGCGTTTCGTTGCGACAATTGCGACACAACGACAACATCAATGCATATACCGACAACATGGCAGGCCACAAGAGTATACAATTATGATATATATAATATATAATATAATATATAATATAGAATATCTATATATATTTATATGCAAATATATGGTTATACGGTTATACGGTTATAGGAACAATCGAATCGAACGAAGGATAAACCCAACGCATTTACCTTCTTTGCTCTTACTCTTTTTCACTTTTTTCTCGCCGCTGTTGCTGTTGCTGCCGCTGATGCTGTTGTTGCTGTTGCCCACGTTGTTGTTGTTGTTGTTGTTGTTGTTGTTGCTGTTGGCATTGGCATTGCTGCTGGCCACCACGGTTCCATTGCCTCCAGTCCCAGCACCAGTTCCAGCTCCAGTTCCCGATCCTGATCCCGAACCCGATCCCGATCCTGGCAAGGTGATGCCTCCGTTGAGAGCTCCCGACTCCGGTTCGGCCATCTTGATGCCAGCTACCGCGGCATTCACTCCGCCCACGGATCTCTCGGATCCGCCGCCATTGCCGGGACTGCCCATTGCGGGCGTGCCACTGGCCACCACCGCTGACGAAGTGGCCGCCACGGCCGAGGCCACCACATCCACCACGGTGCCGTTCAGTGGGCCAGTGCCACACAGATCCACGCCAGCACCCGGCTGTTTGCTCGGCGATTTCTCGCTGTGCTCCGACGAGCTGCGCGACATGCTGCGCTGCACCATGCCGCCAACCACCAGGTCCAGCAGCTTGCCGCCGGACTGACCCTTGGGCGGAATCGGTGGCGGCAGCTCCGGCGTGGAGCTGAGCAGGGCATTGTAGCCGTTGCGCGTCTTGGTGCTCGCCATTTGCTGCTTGGGCGAGATCTTGGAGAGCAGCGATCGCGGCTTGCGGTCCCAGCTCTTGTTCTCATCGTAGTAGCCCTGGTCGTCCAGCCGCTGGTGGCCCAGCAGGCGGTCCGTCTCCAGATCGGTGTCCACGTCCTCCTCGTCGGCACTGTGGTTCTTCGAGTGGTTATCCGAACCGGACTCCAGCAGATCCTTGCCAGCGCCGCCAACGCCGCCGCCGCCGCTGCGGGACAGCCAAACGGGTGAACTCAAGCCCGGCGACGGCGAACGCTGCGATGCGGCCGCCGTCACGAGATTGGTCCGTTCGGGAATGGGCGGTGGCACGCCCCCCGTTGCCGCAGCTACTGCCAGTGCTGCCGGCGCTGCGGTGCTTGCCGCTTCCCGTTCCGTTTCCGTTGCCGCATCCATTTCCGGTGACCGTCGAGGTGGGGGAACTGCGCTGCAGCGTGGAACTGATGGCCGCCGCCAATGTAGTGTGCTTGCTGCTCGGCTGTAGCAGATCCACGTCGTTGTTGCCGCCATTGCCATTGCCATTGCCATTGGCATTGCTGCTGCTGCCAGTGTTGTTGGGCTTGCGGTGCGGCGCCGGTGCGGGCGGCGGTGGCGTCATCTGCACCGTGTCCGGACGGTGGAAAACACCTGCAAAAAGAACACATCGGTTAGAGTCCATTGGGGCAAGCAGAATTATTTTTTTAAATTAATTAGTGACTAAAATTTGTTTTAAAATATATTATATATAGTAAATTTTATATATTATATTTGTTTTACAATTGCCATCAAAGTATACCAGCAAAATGTATGTTTGGTGTTCAATTTTCACATTATGTTCTATTTTCTTTGGTGTAGTTTTTTGTATAACTTATTCTTACCCCTACTTATGTACTTACCAATCGAGTAGAGCGAATCCAACTCCGGATCAATGTTCTTGAACACTTTGCTGTGGTTGCTGGGACTCTGGTCCAGGGTCAATGTCTTCGGCTGAGATGGCGTCTGATTAGCCTGCACCTTTGCCACCGCCGATTGCCCGTTGCTGGGACTGGGCGTGGCCATCAGGTGGTGGCCCACCACGGCCATGCCCCCATTACTGTCCGTGGTGGAGGTGGTGGCGGTCAGGTTGTGCATGCTGTTCAGGCTGTTGTTTGTTGAGATGCGTTTCATGTCCATCAGCATGGAGATGCCGCCGCTGCCGCCGATACTGGCGCTTCCGCTTAGGCTGGTGGTGCATTGACCTTGACCGCTGGACACACCACCACCACCGCCACCATTACCACCCAGCAGGGCCTGCTGCAGGTTCTTGTTCTTGTTGTTGTTGTTCTCGGTGTCGCTAGTGTGACCCGAGGAGAGGCCATCCTCCAGGACCGGCATGGCCGAGGCATAGTATTTGGCGTAGTTCGAGCAGGAGGTCGACACGCCGCCGTTCATCTCACCCGACAGACCTGCGACACAAATCGAGGTAATTAGTAAACAAAACTTATTCCACAAATATCCTAATTTAATAAAATATATATTCAAATATTCGTAACTTGTTTGTTCATTGTCCGCTTCTGATTGTTTAATAACAAATACTGTTATGTGGGCTCAGTGTTTATATTAAACGAACTGACCCATAAATAAATCATGTCATATCGCCACAATTAAATAAAAAAAAAATAAAAAATATATGTGCGTCTTTATTTTGTACTCCTATAAGTCCAAAATGCTTATCATTTATTAAACCTTTAACTAAACATGTTAATCAAACTGATTTAAGTGCATGATACTTTCTAATTCCTAGATATCAAAATGTAATTTATTTTTTAAATAAAAAAAAACAATTATTGGAATTGTTTTAAATATTTAAAAATGTAATTTAAATTTACACCATGTTAAAACCTTTTTAAAATGCGTTTAGATTGTATAGAAACAATTCAAATCTGTTATGATCCGCTTTAACTCAAATATTTGAATATAAAATCATGCAATTTAACAAGCATTTTATTAAATATTATTATATAATATTAAATTTAAATAATAAATTCAATAGTCAGATTATTTTGTTTTTTTTTTATACCATTTAGGTTATGGTATTCCTTATTCAACTGTATACAAATTAAATAAATAAATGTAATTCAGTCACGTACTGTCGAGATCGCCACAGTTGGAGTCGTAGTCGGTGGTCTCCGGCGAGTAGCGGTAGTTGTGGCCGCCGCCCGGGCCCACGCCCACTCCCATGACCCCGCCGCCTACGCCGCCGCCATGCCCACTGCCCGTGCTCAGCAGCTGGTTGTGATTGAGCCCGTCCTGGTCGCCGTCCCGCTCGTTGCTGCTCCGGCTGGTGGAGTCCAGGAAGAAGTCAAAGTCCCGCATCAGCGGACTGCCGCTGTAGTGCCGCCGTGCCACGCCTCCGCCCGCGCCCACGGTCACGCCCAGCGGCTGGGCGGCAAGCCGAGGCTGCGACTGCTGGCCATAGCCCCCGTAAACGTGGCGCTCGGGGGCGTGGCCGGAGATAGGAGGCGCCTGCTGGCGGTAGTTCTGTTCGCGATCCTGATCCAACGGCTCGTCCTCATCCTCGGCCTCGTCGTTCTCCTCGTCGGCATCGTCGTCGCCCTCCTCGTCGTCCTCGGCCTCCTCATCCTCAACCAAGTCCTCGTCGTCGCGCTCAAAGTTGCTGTGGAACTCGTACTGGATATCCTGCAGGACAACAAATATTCCGTTGATATTAAACCAGTTTTGAATAATGCTTTTAGCTTTTAAAAAATACACTGTTTTCCTCAAGAAATGTACATTAATGAAAGTCAGAAAAACATTTGCTTAATAAAATGAAAATAAGTACTTAATATGCAAATAGTCAAAGACTTTTATTATCCCTCTGTTTACTTACAATGCTGTCCACATCGCTGCCGTTTTCCATGATGGGCTGTTCGTCGGTGGAGGGGCACTTGAAGAACTCCTCCAGCACTTTGCGCGTCTCTGAGAATTCGTAAAGGTAATCGAAGGTCGACGATTTCGTGTGCAGACTCAGTGGGCCTAGTGCGGTGCTCGCTGCTGTTGCATTTCCTACTCCTGATCCTGATCCTGATCCGATTCCGATGCCGTTGGCAGTGCTGCCCGCTGCAACTACTGCTGCTGCTGCTGATGCTGCTGATCCTTCTGTCGGTGGTGCTAGTGCCGCGAACGCAGCTGTAGGGGCTTGGGGGGGCGTGGCCGACCGGCTGACTACCTCGCCGGCGGCTCCGATGGCCAGACCCAGTGCCTCCGGAGTGGTCAGGTCGGATATGGTGCCAATCTCGGACACATCGTTACTGGTGTCCTCCGCATTGTTGTCGCTGCTCAGCGGTTGTTTGTTGGTGTTTGAGTTGTTGTTACTGTGGTTGCTCATCAGACTGGCAAAGTGTTGCTGCTGCTGCTGCTGCTGTTGCTGATGTTGTTGTTGTTGCTGCTGCTGCTGCTGCTGAAGGTGCTGCTGCTGTTGCTGATGTTGTTGTTGCTGCTGCTGCAGGGGAGGGGAGCTGCTACGAGGCTCACGATTAGGCGGCGAAATGATGCGCTGAAATTGAAAGTGACAGTTAAGTAAGGAATAATCAGTAATATTACTTATATGAAGATAGGTAATATAAGCTGCGTTTTTTTTTATTATAAAGAAACAAACAAAACAAAACAATGAGCTTAGAATGCTAGTAACGTCTATGTATACAACAAACTTAAGCTGCTTCGGGTTTTTGACTCTGAAATTGTAAATCAGAGTAGACTTATACAAAATGTTAAATGTTAAATGCTTCTTAGGGTTACATTTTCAATATCAAGATAAGCTTTAAGTTTGTAACCTGCCGATTAATCCTTACAGAGTCTGGTGTCACATAAATAGTTAGGTAATTCTCACAAACGAAAATTATGAGAACTATATTGTCAATTTCGTGTTGTAGACTATAAATTTAACTAGAAAAATGCCTCCGCTTAAGAGTTTTTAGTTGGAAAGCGTCATATTGAGCTAGATGTTTTCAAAACTGCGTTTTAACTGATTTGGGCAGATTCTATCAGTTTTACAGCAAAGTCTTTGCTTAGCAGAACACTTTAATTGATTCTGTTTGATTTAAATAGCTATTTTAATGAAATAGCTTCATGTTACTTGCACCCCTCAGAATGCTATTTCATTAATTAATGCAAAATCAATTAGGAATTCAAGGAAACACCCACCTGTGGAAAGCCCGGACGAACGGGATAGTTCTGCATGGTCTGCAGTGGGTTGGGATTGGAATTGGAATTGGGATTGGGATTGGGATTGGAGCTGGGATTAGAGTTGGCGTTGGAGGTGTGTGGTATCAGGGAGCTGAGGATGCTGTGGGAGTTGTGGGGGTGGGTCTGGGCAAGGGCGGCGAGTGCTGCACGAGCGGCCGTCTTTTGCAGCGAGGTGGCCGTGGAGCTCAGCGGTGGAACGGTGGCCATGGGAACCTGCTGTTGCAATTGCTGCTGCAGTTGTTGCTGTTGTGGTGTAGCTGCCACTTCTGCCGTTGCTGGTGGTTCGTTTTCGTCCGCTCCTGCTGTTCCTGTTGTTGTTGCTGCTGCTGCTGCTGCTGCCGTCAAGGCCCCAAAATTGTTGGTGGTTACTCCAATGCGCCTGGGCGAACCTTCGTACTCTGTGGATGGAATTGATTTTAATTCGATTTCAAGGGGATAAAGTTATTTTGATAAGAGAAGAATAATTGCAAAATATGTTGTCCACCTTAGGAGGCTTTTTTTGAATTATATTTTGCAAAAAAATAAAACATTCGATTCCATTAAAAATTTGGTTGGCACAGAATTTCGCAATTTTTTTAACAGAATGTAGTTAAAGCAGAAAATGTACAATGTAATACGCATATCAACATTAAAATGGCATTAAAATCAAAAGTTATATATATTACAGGATATTATTGTCGAATTTAACAAAATTGTCATTACATTTCTTAGAGAAGTAAATAAAATTTCTAACTATTTCATATAACTATTTTCGGATTTGGTTTAAGTAGCTGAAAATTTAATTTAAACCATATTTAACTTAAATAAAATGCATTTAAATCAAATAGGATCTATTTTAAAATAAATATTTTGAACATTAATTTAGATTTTTAACATTTAAATCGTGTACTTTAATATGCATTGAGTTTAATATTATTATTTAAAATAAAATTGTTTTGTTACTAAGTGCATAGTTTACCAATGATGCCATGGCGCGACTCCACGGCCAGCGTGTAGTTGCGCTCGAGCTTCCAGGCGTCCAACTTGTGCTCCCTGTAGACGTTGACCTCCAGGTTCTGCCCTGGGTTCAGATTCTGCATCTGCATCTGAAGCTGGGCCTTATCCTTGTCCACCGGCTTGCCTGGCTTGCCGCCCTCCTCCGCCAACGTTTCGGTCGTAACGCGCAGATCTGGATGAGATGGGATGAATGGAGAGAGAGAGAGAGAGCTCAGATGAGGACCAGTGGCCATGTCAAGGGTCTCAGTTGAGGATTTGGGGGTACGAACTATGAGCTGCTTGGCATGCCAATTAATTGCAATCAATTAAATTCCACTTTGGCGCGCTTCCTGCGCTTTGTTCGTTCCCCCCAAAAACCCGTTTTATACATGTTTGCAGTACACTTCATTACGCATGATTTGCAATTCAATTACCCTGCCCATGTCTATCTGTCCGGCATTCAGCCAGTCGGAAATTGGTTTCACAAAACGCTCCAGCCACTGAAGTGGGCGCCCTTGAAGCCACAAATTGCTGCAGGCACGTGCAACCACAGAGGTTGCTGCTCGGACAGAGGCAACACTTCAAATGGACTCGGAATCAGACTCAGACTCGGACTCTGGGCTTTGGGCTTTGGGCTTTGGGATTTGGGTTTGGGCTTTGGGGTGTGGCGTTTACCCGGAAAAGGTTTGTGTACTCTGCAAACCAAATGCAGTTCAGCCAAGGATGCTGCCACACTCTCGCACATTTGCGAAATGTTTGCTCTTTTAAGCCATGCCAAAGAAATAACATATAAAGGCTGTTGTGTCTACCTTACATTTATCTTGGACTTGTATACCCTATATTTTATTCAACATTGTAGATGTAGCTTGACAAAATAAATAAATGAAATCCTTTGAAACTTGAATCTTAACTGTGCAAATTGTCAATGAAAAAAGAGTCACAGCTCTGTAAATGAATTCCGCTTGTTTCTAAAAGAGCTATATGATACAGTGGTCCGATTTTAATAAATTAACCCCGGAATAATAAATAATATTAAAATCACTCTATCTCAAAGAAGGTTTTAATAAATTGAAAACTGTAAAGCAATAAAGCTTGATCTCTAGAGGATTTTGTCGATTTTAATTTGCCAGCCAGTGTTATTATGATTTATAATTATTATTACTAACGCAAGTCACAATTAGTTTGATAACTTCGTTTTATAATCTTAAAGACTTATCTAACATCTCTTAAAAAAAAAAAATTGTACAAGATTGCCTGGGACACTTTAAACAGATTTTTTTTCTTAAAATTCGATTTGGCTATATTATTTGACTTTTTTTGTTGAATTGTGCCTTAACTTACGCTGCCAGCTCTCGTTGGGATCTGCGTTTCCATTGACCAGGCGGTGATCCCGCTCCATGTCCCGCTCGCGGTCCCGTTCCTCACCGTAAACATGTCGCTTTCGCTGCTGCTGACCCGCCAAATGGCTGAGGTGGTTGTCCCTGGCCGCTTGCACCTCCTGCAGTTGCAGCTGCTGCTGCTGTTCCAGCAACAGGTGCTCTCGTTCCCGCTCCCGCTCTCGCTCCCTTTCTCTATCCCTTTCCCTTTCCCGCTCCTCGCGCAGCCTCAGTTTGCGCTGCTCCCGCGGCTCCCAATCGCCAGGATGCTGATCCAGCGAGGATTTGCTGCCATAAAGGTAGTGACTGGCCAAAGGAGTCAACCCATCGGCACAGGGATTGCTTCTGGGCGCTGCAATCTGCTGCTGTTGATGCTGCTGTTGCTGCTGCTGCTGTTGCTGCTGCTGCTGGGGAAAGCTGCGATTCACCGGACTTCGTCCCACCCGCAAGATGTGTTGCTGTTGCTGCTGCTGCTGTTGCTGCTGTTGCGATCGCTGACTGATACCGTACACCTGTTCCCGCTGCTGGTGGTAAGCTCGTCTGGCTGAGGCATGCAGATGTTGTTGCTGCTGCTGCTGCTGCTGCTGCTGTTGTGTATGCTGCTGTGCTTGTTGCTGCTGATGCTGATGTTGCTGTTGCTGCTGTGTCTGCTGATGTTGCTGCTGTTGCTGTTGTTGCTCCTCTGCGTATTCCGTGGGCGAATGGAGCAGCAAGCTGGCTCTTGTGGGCGGCGCCTCCCAATAGTTTTCCTTGATAAATGGATTCTGACTGCCATTGCCGTTGTGCAACTGTTGCTGCTGTTGCTGCTGCTGCTGCTGCCTGTTGCTGGCGGGCAACGCACCACTACGTTTGCGTGGCATTTCCACGTAGCAACCGGGGCCACGCCTACTATCGCCCACCGTGTGGTAGTAAAAGGAGGCGGGACAGTCGGGCTCCTCGCCGGCCGCTCCGCTCCTGCTTCGCTCCACAGCTGCCTCGCCCGAGGTGTCCAGCTCCAGTTGCTCCAGTTGCTGTTGCTGATGTTGCAGATGCAGGTGCTGTTCCTGCTGCTGCTGCTGGTGGTGCTGGTGGTGGTGCGGCGGTGTGGGCGGTGTGAGCGGTGCGCACAGGAAAGGATTTGTGGAGATGCGCGGCGTCACCGAGGACAGCGATTCGGAGGAGTGCGATGAAGCCGAATGCGGCGGTGGCGATTGTGTTATGATGTTCACGCTCTTATAATAGCTGGGCGTGCTCGTGGGCGGCGGCGTGGCCGTGGCCTTGGGCGGCGGCGGACTAACGCTGACCAACGGCTCCCCAGCAACTGCTGCCGATGTGGGACTGCTGCTGCTGCTGCTGTTGCTATTGCTGTTGCTGTTGCTGTTCGTATTCACGTCCGCCAGGAGTGCATGTTGCTGCTGTGTCGCTTGATGATGTTGCTGCTGCGGCGGCTGCTGCTGCTGCTGTTGCTTGGGTCGGCACTTGGGGAAAAGCAAACTGATCTGATCGTTAAGCGGCGGCGAAGGCGACAGCAGAGCTTGCGACAGAATTAGCGGGGGTTGCTGTTGCTGCTGCTGCTGCTGTTGCTGCTGGTAGCTGATGTTGCTGCTGTCGCAGTCTATCTCAAGGCTGCCGTTCAGAGCGTAGAAGCCGCGTTGCTGGTTGACCGCTGCTGCTGCTGCTGCGTGTGGTTGCAGTCGCTGGTAGGGCAGTTGCTGATGCGACTGCTGCTGCTGCTGCTGATGCGACTGATCCTGCTGCTGTTGCTGCTGCTGGTGGTGATTGTGGTGGTGGTGATGGTGATTACTGCTACTAGTTGTTTGTCCAGCAGTCAGTGTTGTCAATGTTGTGCTGACCATTATTGTTGCCAATAAACTGAAAGTGAGAGAAATGGAGTGATTAGCAAAACGTATAAAAAGCATTGTTTAAAAAAGGTACTAGTTTTTAAGTCTGGGACAAAAAAAAAAATCGAAGGAACGAAAAAAAGGTAAAAGATGCAAACAAGTTCAGAGCATTTTTTAATTTACTTTTTTTTTTAGATAAATAATACGTTTTTTTAGTTCACAGTATCAGTTTTATCTTAGTTGGGAAACATTAACATTATAAATATTAATTAATAATTATTACACATCGCGAAAGTCTTCCAATCACTCTGATTTATGGTAGAGGCCTACTATTAGGCAATTTTTGTTAAAAAAAAAAATAAATATATATATTTTAGTACCCAAATACCCAGCTCATCTTTTTTAGACACATATATGATTACCTAAATTAAATATTACCCACATATTTGATTACCTATTGAGAAGGTAAAAAGTAGCAGGTCTTGTTACCTAGGTACGTACCTAGGTTTGGGTATCTAGGTACTCCCCAACACGGTTAATAAGCTACTTGAATTAAAAGGAGCCAGCCTTCCATCTGTGATCCTTTGGCCACGCGTTTCACGTCCCGCTGGCAGTTGTTTTAATAAATGCAGGCGCTGTGTCAACCTTTGTCATGTCCGAGCGGCAACGGGGCGTGACAGTAACGAGTTCTGCCGCCTCCGCAGTCGCCGCTCGGTCGTCTGGGTCACGTTTCATGGGGCAATATGGCTGGGCCAAACAAATGGCAGCCATAAGATAGGCAAATATTTAATTGTCCACCCTGCGTGCCCACTCGCCAAAAACGAAATGTGAAACACTCGTGCAGCAGCAGCCAATCAATGTCATTGAGCGATTGCCGTCGTTTGGTTTGTTGAATTTAACTTTTAAATGCTCGCCAGCGATGGCCGTGCGTTTAAGTTGGATTCAATTTGCATTCGCTACGAGCTTTTTGCCATGTGGCATGCAAATTAGCCGCCCTAGTGGCTTTTTCGTGTGTGGCAAGCATGGCAAACTTGGGAAAGTCGTTGGGAAACAGAACCAGTAATATGTACAGAGACTCTGAATTTAGTTTGGGTTTTTATTTTTATTTTTTTTTTAGCTGGGTAATATGCAAATTTGCAATGACGTGGATACCAGAGTAGAAAAAAAATCCATTGAATAAGAAATTTTAATCGGCTTCGATTTGCGTATGCTTTAGTCGCCCAAGAGTCTGAAAGTATGAGTCACAAACTGCAACATTTCTTTTTACGAGAAACATGTGTTTCATAATTTTCGAATATATATAGCTAACGATATGTAGTTTGCTTGCAAACAAATGAGTTATATAATCTATAAGCCAATTATTGTAAACTTAGCTCACATTCATTGTAGTTAGAGAAATTCATAGAAACATCACAAAATTGGGTTGTCTGTATGTATTTTCCCTCTTAACCAGCCTATCCCGAAAAGGTATTTCTTAAACCGCTTAAAGCTGCAGCACACACAAATCCCCATTTGGGCCCACCATTTTCGCATTCCATCCCACAATCCACCCGAAAAACCCACCCACATGTTATGCTAATGCGTGCGGTGTGCAGTGTGCGTTTGTGTTTGTGCCTGGGGCCTAAAATATTTTCCCAACAATCAAACTAAAAATTTCGAAAAGGATTAACAACAACAGCAGCAGAAGCCAAAAGCGAGACGAGAAAATAGTCAGGGAAGCGTAACAAATGCACCGAAAGAAAAAAATATTTTAATTATTAGAAATGCTTTCAGTGATGTTAAATATGTATACAAGTTTATTTCAAAATTACAAAATTTTGAATTTGACTTTATAAATTTCAAATGAAATAGTTAACTCTTAAATTGTTTTTTTTGCTGTAAATTTAAAAAAGACAACCTCTTAGTAAACATGCTTAAATCACTGAAAACATTACTGCAACTTGAAAATATTTGTATTTTTAAATAAATAAAATGCTTTGTACTTTAATTGAAGAAATAATAACTCAGTGTTGTTATTTAGCTGGATATTGTATTGTTTTATAGAAATAACTGGTGTTTTGAAATGATAATTAGAGGTGTCTAAACATATGCAATGAAAACTAGGAACGTCGTATTTTAAAGCCCAAAGAAATTTCTGTATATTTATATATTTTGTTCTCTGTATGAAAATCACACACATGTACACATGTACAAGTGGTGATAACCGAAGCGAGCAGCGAGATATGTTAGCCGACTCCGGCTTGAGCTGTTGTTGCTGTGCGTCTCGCATCGCTTTGTGCACTCGCATGGAAAATATGTTTTCGTTCCTGGAATACCACAAAACTGAGCTGGCAAAAGGGCAAGGAGCCATTTCATGTGCCAGGGGGGTGAGGACTTCGTGCTTTACGCATTAAGACGGTGAAGGGGCAGGGCAAGGAAAGGGTAAGGGGCTGCAGGTCTGGTCCTTCAGAGCCGAAATCTACACAGCAGCTAACAAGGTATAACAGCAGCAACGACAGCCAGAGTCGCATCCGTATCCGGATGAGGAGCCAGCACCAGGATCAGGACCAGAGCAACATTTTCTTTAAGGCTCCACACGACACGCACACGGATAGATGGCCAAACATTTCCATGTTGGTTCAAGATAGTCCCTTGTCAGAGGAACAAGGGACAATAAAACCCAGATTCAAAATGGCTCAATTTTAGCCAACTATAAAAATGTTGCAAGGAATACTTTATTTAACCTTAGAGTCTAACCATTTTTTTGTTGTGCCATTTCACATAAGATTTAAAATAGTTAATTGCAATTATACATTATTTTTATTATATAAAACAATACTTTATATTTCACCGAAAGTTGATCAGTGGGTCAGAGCTGACTAACTCTAGCAATAATTTCAGAAGGAATTAAGATATTAAAGTCTAGCATAAGCAGTGATTTCACTGCAAGAAGCCAGATAGGGTTTCATCTATGTATGTCGCATTTGATTTAAAACAGCGTTCGAATAATGTATAAAAATATATTATAAATTGAGTTAACCATATAATATTCATATATGTATAAAATGACAAGTTTCTTGTATGCGTGTGCTCTCCATCCGGCTTCAGAAAATGTTAAGTGCGAGCAATAAAAATTTCATAAACTCTTCAGCCATGTATGCTCCACATGCACATCCTCACACCCTCGACAGGACTACCTTTCTCGTCCTAGACCTGGCAGTTGCATAATTAAGTTACCAGGACGAGGACGAGGACGTGGAGCTGTTGTGGGCGCGTCCTTGGAGTTTTATTAACTTAATGTCTGCTTAAACGATGCGTCGCTTGTCGCTCTTTAAATATTTAAAATTAATTCCAGCCCGTTTCCGTGCCGTGCCCAATGAATCAAAATCAAAATCAATTGCCAGGGTCCACAGTTTGCCACTGATGTTGGCGTGCTGGTGCAGTGGGGTGCTGGCTGTTGCTGGCTGGTCTCTGGAATGGAATGGTGGTGATGGGTGGGTGGTGGATGGTGGATGGTGTGGTGCAAAAGCTGGTCTAATGCGGTCCTGGGGCTGATACCGTCATTACGGCCACATTGCGGCAGGACATCGGCAAACGACCAGCCAACGACGTGGCCAACGGGTTAGATGCAATTACCTGTGCCTATGATGATGGCATTAATTATGCAAAACAACTAACACTGCATGAGGTAGTGTATGGCTAGGGGGGAGGTAGTTAAGAAGAAGGTGCAGGTGTAGGTGGACGAACTGCCCCAGCACGCAAGCCGACGAGCACAGGTGGCGGACTTGGGCCGACTTCCTGGCCATTGCATGCGCCACCGACGACTGGGCTGGGTTGTAAATGAAACATGCAATTTATTTTAACCCAAATCGTTGTCTGTTTTTTGCCCCGTTATGCAATTACTTGGCATACCCATTGGGGCGATAAGTACAGCTTTGTCTGGCGATTGAGTGCACACGAATCCCCGCTTCTACACTTTTTTGTAGCACACTTCTCGGGGCGTCCGAAAAGAGTTTAGTTAATATTTTGCAGATTTGCGCCTAAGTTGCGCAATTAAGCCAGTCTTTTGGCTTTTGCAGTGAGCACTGCTCAAGGATTAATTCAATAATGGCCAGGAGAACTGTGCGCTGTCCATTAGGCATTCGTGTGGGGGAATTGTCGCTAAGCGGATTTAAGTGCAGTCTATGAAATTGCTGCAATTTGGGCTAAAAACCATTTTCGCTAAGAAAAACCCGTGCACTGACAACAAACCAAAAAAAAAAAAAAAAAAAAAATACAAAAGGGGGTTGGCAAGAACGAAGCGTCATGTAAAACGCCGCATGACAAAAGCACACAGCGATAAAAGAAATGGCGGGGAGAACTAAAAAACGAAAGCGAAAAGTGTAATGAAAAGTGAAAGTGACTAAGATGTTTTTCCGAGCTGTTGATGACGCGGGCGAGTAGTAATGTTGACGAAAGCACCAACGACAGCAACACAAATAATGGTGGAAGCGTTTGCCAAATGAAAATGGCAGCACGCAAAAATGGCGAAAACTGAATTTTGGAGCGGGAGAGGCGGAAAACAGGACAACGGGAGAGCGAAGAAAACGGTGACAAAGATGGCGAACGAAGGAAAAACAAAAATGACGAACAGCACGCGATAGCAAACGAGGAAAAACGAGGAGGTTGACACCAAAAGTTGTCTCCTGGGAAGGAAAATGGAAAAGCGGATCTGAAATCTTAAGAGACTCTAGTACAAAATACATAAATATAAAAGACAGATTTCCAATGAGGATAGTCATAGGTATTTTTAAATGTTTTCTACATTTGATTGCTACCTTTACAACAAAACAAGCCTACAATTCCTGTCATATATCACTATCGTTTTCAATTTTTGCGTTTTATAAAGGATAAGCTCTTGATATTCAAGCACCAATGGCAATATTTTATTTTTTTAACCAGAGAAAAACAAATAATGTTCGAACATTTTAAGGCATTAATAACTTTACTTATAGTGCAGGTTAAGTTGTTGAACTTGGCTTAATCAAAATATACAGATCTTCATATAAAAGC